AGTTCCAGGAAAGGCACAAAGCTACACAGAGACACCCTGTTTTGGAGGAAAAAAAAAATCTTACTCTTACTCTGTGGCTTGCTGTGAGCTAGGTGGCTGGCCTCTGGTGTCCTCCTCTCCTTCTCTGGCTACTTCCTTTTTCCTTCCAGATTTCTCCTTCTATTAATTCTTTCTGCCTAGCTATTGGCCATTCAGCTCTTTATTAGACCATCAGGTGTTTTGGACAGCCACAGTAACACAGCTTCACAGAGTTAAACAAATGCAACATAAACAAAAGTAACACACCTTAAAATAATATTCTACTATACTATGCTGTGGAGAAAATGAATGAATGTGTACTTTCTTTTTTTTTTATGGTTTTTTCGAGACAGGGTTTCTCTGTGTAGCTTTTCACCTTTCCTGGAACTCACTTTGTAGACCAGGCTGGCCTTGAACTCACCTCTGCCTCCCGAGTGCTGGGATTAAAAGCGTGCGCCCCCACCGCCCGGCTGAATGTGTACTTTCTATTTCTATTTGACCCAAACAAAAACCGCCTGCTGCATTTACAAATGGCGCTAGGAAGCAGGTGTTGTGAAGCACACTTATAATCCTAGCACTTTGGAGGTCGAGGCAGGGGTATCAGAAGTTCAGCGTGAGCCTCTGCTTAATAGTGAGCTTAGTCCCCTGTCTCAAAACTGTATTAATCAGTTCATTAATTAAAAAATAAGAGTGGAGGCTAGAGAGATGGCTCAGAGCATATACTTAAGTGTATAGCTTAAGAGCATATACTGCCCTTGCAGAGGACCCAAGTTAAGTTCCCATGTCAGGTGGCTCACAGCCACCTGTAATTCCATCTCCAGGGGAAAACAGTGCCTCTGGCCAGCAATCATGTTTACACCCCTATATACAGATACATGCATATAATTTAAATTTTTTTGTAATTTAAAAAAATTAAAAATTAACACCAAAATGACACAGAGAAACCCTGTCTTGAAAAATGAAAAAAAAAATTAAAATGGAGATAGGGTTGGGGATTTAGCTTAGTTAGTAAAATGTTTGCCTAGTGTCTTAATCAATGTTTATTGCCATGAAGAGACACCATGACCATGGCAGCTCTTATAAGGAAAACATTTAATTGAAGCTGGCTTCCAGTTTCAGAGGTTTCGTCCATTATCATCATGGTGGGAAGCATGGCCGCAGGCAGGCACTGTGCTGGAGAGGTAGATGAGAGTTCTACATCCAGATCAGCAGGCAGCAGGAAGAGAGAGAGACCCTGGTCCTGGCTTGATCACCTGAAACCTCAAAGCCCACCCAGTGACGTACTTCCTCCAACAAGGCCACACCTCCTCCAACAGGGCCACACCTCCTAATCCCTGTCAAGTGGCCTCACTCCTAATGACCAAGCATTTAAATGTATGAGCCTATGGGGGCCATTCCTGTTCAAACCACCACACCTAGTGTACACAAAGCCTGGGCTCCGTTCCCAGCACTACAAAAAGAGAAGAAAAAGAAAAAAAAGAAAAAACAAGGAAGAAAAAAAAAAAAAAAAGAACCGTACTCATACAGAAAGCAAGCTACAGGGCCTGGAAAGATGGCCAAGTGGTTAGGGTTAGGGTAGCACTGGCTACTGTTCTAGAGGACCCAGGTTCAATTCCCAGCACATACAAGGTAGTTCACAATTGTTTGTAACTTCAATTCCAGAGGATCCAGCACCCTCTTCTGGCCTCTGTATGCACCAGGTGCTTATATGGTGCACAGACACACACCCAGGCAAACATGCATACACATAAAGAAATATAAAAAAGAAATTGAGCTGGGCGGTGGTGG